CCAACCCCCCACCCCCCACCCCGGCCTGGGACCCATCCTGGACAGACCCCGGTGTGTGCTCATGGGAACAACACTGACTTCACTCTGGGAGCTCCCCATCCCACCCCAGGAGCACCCCACACTACGAGCTGGCCTGGCCTTCGAGCTTCTCACGGTCTCCTGAGCACCCTCCTGCAGAGGTCCGGGCTCCCACCAGCTCTGCTCCCGGGCACATTCACTCCCACTGCTCTGCCCGACACTGGGCTCCACGCCCTACAGGCTGACTCCAACATGGGAGACGGACTTGCCCCTGGGCAGTACCAGGAGACTGAGCCCAGAGACCCCGCGCGTCCTCAGGAACCCAGAGCCCATCCCTCCATGCCTCGCCCAGGACGCATCCCCACTGCCCCCTGCACACCTCTCCCCATCACACAGTGCTGCCTCCCAGGTGCCTGCCGGTCCTCCCTTTGCCTCCCCAAATCCCGGGATCAGATACCAGGTGGCTTAGGGACCTGCTGTACAGCACAAGGAACTCTACTCAGTACTCTGTAATGGCCTAGATGGGAAAAAAATCTTAAAAAGAGTGGATATATGCATAACTGATTCACTTTGCTGTACACCTGAAACTAACACAACATTGTAAATCAACTCTACTCCAATAAACATTTTTTTTTTAAATCAAAGTTAAAAAAAAAAAAAAGAAAGAAAGAAAAAGAAACCAGGTGGCCAACTCTTAGCTCAGTAACAACCAATCCCCCGCCCTGCCCCCATCACTAGAAAAATGCAATTTATCCAACCAAACAAACATGGGCCCTCTGGCATTCACCAGGGGCCAGAGATCATTCTGTCCAAGCAAAGTGGAGCCCTTCTCTACTCCACTAGTCCTGGGACCCTAGGGCTGCCCTTCACCTCGAGAACCCAAAACGGGCCTCCTGTCCTGGCTGTCCAGGGGACTGCCACACACTGCTTCCTGTCACCTTGAGGCCACCCCCATCGCTTCATCGGTGGCTCCCCAGAGGCTTGGTGCCTCCGAGCACTGCACACCAACCTGCTCACCTCGGGTGTGGGAACTGGCCTGGAGAAGGGAAAGGGCTGTGGCCATGACCCGGGCCAGGAACATCCAGACCCTAATATCTAGATAGAGGGAGGGACCATATGCTGCAGATATGCCTGCCAAGTGCAGGCCACACATCCTCATAGCAACACATGCTTCACAGCAACAGTATCACAGGCTGATGGGCGTCAAGAACAGGCTCTGCAGCAGGCACTGCGTCCACTGTCAACTCACTAAATCCTCACGACAACCCGGGGTGGGCACAGCTCCATGTCCGTAATCCCTAATCCAAACCTCGGCCGATGTGTTTCAGGAGTTTTGGGATTTGAGGAACACACTCGTGTTTCCACAGCAAAGGTACACGTAGTCCCAGGAAGTGAGATTAAACTTAACTACAACCAGCCTCATATCAAAATGAGTTTTGATGCCAAGCCTAAGAAAAAACCTTCCTTTTTTTCAACTTTTGGATTTAGGAATTATGGACCACGGTTTGTGCGTAGACGTAATCCTCACTTCACACGGATGGAAACCAAAATTCATGTGTTGGCAACAGCCCTAACCCCGGTATCTGTGAATGTGACTGTATTTGGAAATAGGGCCTTTAAGGACGTAATTCAGTTAAAATGAGAGCATTAGAGTGGAATCTCATCCAGTATGACTGGTGTCCTTACAAGAAGAGGGAATCTGAAAGCAGAGGGAAGACGGTGTGAGGACACCAGGGGAATGGCTGTCTACCAGCTGAGGGGAGAGGCCTCAGAGGAAACCAACCCTGCTGACACCTTGATCTCGGACTTCTGGCCTCCAGAGCTGTGAGCCAATCAACCTCTGCCGTTTAAGCTGCCCAGTAAGTGGTACTTTGTTCCACAGCCTGAGCTGACTTGTACCCTGGGTGGGGCGGCAGCTCAGAGGAGGAGCCAGGGGCCTCCCTGGCAGCCAGGCCAGCCTCACCTCCAGACAGATGACGGAGCCCTGGTGCTCCTGGAACACACGCAGCTGCTGCCCACTCAGGATGTCCCAGGCTCGGACGGTGGCATCTGTGCTGCCAGTGAAGGCCGTGTGACCAGGCGTGGCCAGCACCAGGCAGAGCACAGCACCTGTGTGGCCCCGCAGTGTCTGGTGGCAGCAGCCGCTGGCCACCTGCCAGACCTTGGCCGTGCCATCCGTGCTGCCCGTCACCAGGAGCCCCCTGGCCACGGCCTCCTCCATGCACGGAGCCCCAGGGAGGTCCTGGGGGGCAGAGTAGGCTAGAGTCAGCACACAGTTGCGGTGGCCCCGGAACTCCCGGGCCACCTGCCCCTTGTCCACACTCCAGGCTCGAGCTGTCCGGTCGTAGGAGCTGCTGAAGAGCTGGTTGTTGGCGACCAGGATCCTGGTGGCAAGAGGGGAAGGGTCAGGGGTCAGAGCATGCAGGGCTGCCCGGCAGGCTGGCGTCTAACGCGTTCAACGAGCCCAGGTGATGGGTGAGAAGAATGAATGGTCCCAGTGACTGGGACCCGAATCTGAGAAAATCTCAAGGCTGAGGAATCTGAGGCCCCCTGCAGCAGGGGAACAGTGAGGGAGCCAGGAGAGCCCACGGTGGGGCGGGGGTGGGGGGGAGCAGAGCCTGCCAAACAGTAACTATTCATGACTCCTATTCTCATTTTGATATATGCTAAGACTTTCTCTGCAGAAAATACACATCTGTCTCTAGCATAGAACTCTGTGTATAACTTCAAAGGGCATGAGGGTGGACCCTAATTTACACACCACCCCCAAAGGGCTGCGGCCTGAACCTGGAATGGGGCGTGTCGTCTGTGTGGCCACAGAGGGGTCAGGACCCCCATCTCAGTCTCAGAGGCACCCCTCTTTTAAAAGGTCTTGCCTGGGAGCCTAGCACGGGCAGGAGGAAAGATGGACACGGAGCAGAGCAGACCTTCCTTCTGCGGCCTCTCACCTCTGGGCGGTTCTCACTTCTCACAAGTCATTAAGGATGCAGCACAAGAAAAGCACACTTTCTACTGATGGCTTCTTCCCTAATGCCAGGAGGTACGGTCTTCACCACATGTGTGTTTCTAAAGGAAAGTGACGACGTGGTGCCTTGGGTGATGTTCTGCTGGCCCGAGTCCTGCCGGGTGTGGCCTGTGACGGCAGGGACGCCGGGCCGGGCCGGTGCCCCCAGAAGCTCACACACCTGGCCCGGCTCTGAAAACACGAGAAGTGTAATCCATGTTCTCACCTCAGGGCCATCACGCATTTGTGAGCACAGTTACTTAATAATGCAAATATGCACCCAGAGATGTTTAGAACAGCCAACTGCTCAAAAGCAGTGTGTGTGTGTGTGTGTGTGTGTGTGTGTGTGTGTGTGTGTGTGTGTGTGTGTGTGTGTGTGTGTGTGTGTGCGCGCGCGCGCGCGCGCGCGCATGAGCGCGTGTGTACTTGTGTGTGAACATGTGTGCACTCGGGAGAGTCTACACCTGGCAGAGCATCATTTCTAGCCTTAATTGTCCAGATTTACTTTTGAGGAGCCACTGATTCGTTTCCAGGTACAACCGGAGGGCCGGCTGGTCACCCGAGATATGGCTTTCTTCCACCCACCCCATCCTCTGTCAGCCCTTCCAGCCACTCATAGCCTCACTAGAGGAGGCGCCCCAGGCCCACACTTCTCCTCAGTCACAAAC